TTTTTTGAAAATATATACAATGGACAAATGACATTTGCAGGATAATGGATAGAACAAGATCATCATATTAGGTAAGAAGGTAAGACAAACCAGACTCAGAAAGACAGGTATTGTATATTTGCTTTCATATGCAATCTAGGTTTAGGATATATATATATATATATATATATATATATATATATATATATATATATCCCAAAGGGGTCAGAGAATGGAGGAGGAAGGGGGCTGGAAGGACAGGAGAGAACAATTGAATGCACTCTACATGAAAGCATAAGGTTACCACTTGGGGAAGGAAGGGACCAGTAAGAAGGGAAGAGGATGGGGAAAGATATTAGGGGACTATTAAGAACAATATAAGATATTTCTGTATGAAAATGATAAAGTCCACTACTTTGTATACTATCTAAAAACACTTATCAAAAGAAAACTATAAGAAAAAAACTTTAAATCCAGGTTCTCTAGCTTACATTGAATTCTGTTTCTGTTGGATAGCAGCTACATAAACACTGCAATCTGGAAGCCTCAAAGCATTTCAGAGTAACTTAAATTCAGGATAAAAAATTATAGTAATTTAAAAGATTACACTATGCTGGGTGTGGTGCCACACACTTAATCCTAGTACTTGGGAGGCAGAGGCAGAATCTCTGAGTGTGAGGCCAACCTGGTCTACAAAGGGAATTACAGGTCAGCCAGGGCTACATAGAGAAATCCTGTCTCAAAATACAGGAAAAAATAATCACAACATAAAATCTTTCCTTTTTATTTCTTTTATCTTTCCTTTCTTGTGAGATGGGGCCTCATTATGCTTTCCAGGTTGATCTCAAAGTCCTGAGGTCAAGCAGTCCTCCACCTTAGCTTTGTATGTAGCCATGACCATGGGTACAAATCATGGCACCTGGCTTTGTGTTGCTGAGATTGTGCATACTAGGCAAATGCTCTACCATTGACCTCCATCCTCAATCTCTTAATCATTTTTAAGTGTACAGGTCAACCATGTTAAGTATTGCACATCCACACAGTGGCACAACTAATTGCCACAACTCTTCCTCTGTTAGCTTTAGCAACTAGTGTTCTCTTTTCTGTCTCTGTGAATTTGACTTCTCTAGGAAACTATTTAAATGGAAGGAATCATGTTTTCTTTTATGATTGTTTTTCTTAACATATTGTTTGAAAGCTGTATCTATATAGTATCATGTGCTAGAATTTCTTTTTCAAGTTTTATTTGTGTGTGTGTGCACATGTATGTGCTGGCCACCGTTTACTTGTGGAGGTCAGAGAACAGCTTGTGTAAATTGGTTCATGCCTTCCACCATGTGGATTCTAGGGATTGAACTCAGACATCAAATTTGGCAGCAAGCACTGGGCTCCTTTATCTGCCAGCTCTTTAAACCCCCTCCCCACCCCCCCAATCCCCGACAGGGTTTCTCTGTATAGCTTTGGAGCCTTTCCTGGAACTTGCTCTGTAGACCATGCTGTCGTCTAACTAAGAGAGATCTGCTTGCCTCCGCCTCACGAGTGCTGGGATTAAGGGCATGCACAGCTACCACCCAGTCTAGATTGGTGTTGTACCAATAAGATGGTTCTCATTTTACTTTTATTTTTTAAGATTTTTTAAAAAAACTTTTCTTTGTGTGTGTGTGGCTTTACACCACATGCATGTAGGTATCTGAAGAAGCCAGAAGATGGCTTTGGATCCCCTTTAGTTGGAGGTATAGTGGTTGTGAACTGTCCTACGTGGGTACTGAAATACTTCTGCAAGTGGCAAGCACCTCCATACATTTCTCCAGCTCTTTACTTTTTATTTTGAGACATGGGCTAAGTTGTCAAAGGCTGGCTTTGAACTCCTTTTGTAGTCAGGATAGGCCTTGAATAACTGATACCACTTCCTAAGCCTGCCAAGTAGCTGAAATTACAGGCTTGCTCCACCAGGCCCAGTGAGATCAAAGCTTTCTGTGTCAAGCTGGTTATGCTACCACAGAAATCATGGGGGTGGTTAAGAGAAATGATCTAGTTACTTTTGAGAGAAACTTTGTCAAACATGTGTTACTTTGCTATTCCATGCTTGTCTTCTTAACCAAAAAGGAGGTGGCTTAGGCAGATTTGACAAACAAGGCTGGAGGATTAATACAGGCTACAAGTGTATCTTATGCAGCCTATATGTTTACTGATTTTTGTGATGCTGAGGATCAATTTCAAGTCTTCACACAAGCAAAGTGTGTGCTGTACCCCTGAATTAACATATTTTATCTTCAGCCTCGTGTGTGTGTGTGTGTGTGTGTGTGTGTGTGTGTGTGTGTGTGTATGTGTGTGTGTGCACATTGTGTGTTTGTAGACCAGAAATCAGTCTTGGGTGTCATTCTTAAGGAGCCATCCACTGTGGAGTTTGTTTTAGTTTTTCCAGACAGGTTCCCTCTGCACAGCCCTGACTGTGCTGGAACTTGTTTTGTAGGCCAGGCTGGCCTCAAACTCATAGAGATTGCTTGCCTCTGCTTCTTGAGTGCTGGGACTAAAGGCCTGTGCCATCATTGCCCCTACTGCCTAGCTGTTTCTTTTGAAACGTGGTCTCTCATTGACTAGGAGATTGCCAAGTATGCTAGTTTGGCTGGCTAATGAACCCCAGGAATCCACTTGCTTCTACATCCCCAGCACTGGGCTAAAAGCAAACTACCATACTGATGTGTGTTTGTGTGTGTCTGTGTGTGTGCTTATAGAGGGCAGAAGATGGCATTGGATACCCCTGGAGCTGGATTCAGGTGGTTATGACAGACTTGATGTGGGTCCTCTGAAAGTGCATGCATTATTAACTGCTGAGCCATTTCTCCAGCTTCTCTTTTTTTTTTTGTGACAATCTGTTGATACTGGGTCCACTTACCTGCCTACCTTCTAATCTGTAGTCCCCACCGCTCACTATTACTCCTACCTAATCACTCAGGCATATTACCTACTTGTTCATTTTGCCACTTGAGTTTGAGATCTGGCTCCAAATGAAGGTCTAATAGAATCTAGGTCAGGGGTTTGCCTTTTGTTCTGGCCAATTTTCCAGCATACAGCTGTCACTCAATAAATATTTGAGTGATCAAATGAACTTTTACCATCAAGATTTTACTAAATATTTATTACCTGCAGGGTGTACATCTCAGAGACAAATGATCTCTGAAACTCACAATCACAACTATAGTGGGAGGAACAGATATAGTCCTGCAACTCTGGTTACAGACTGATTTTGAAGGGTGATTCAGGTAGCAGTTTCTCCCTGACCCATGTTTGTTTGTTTGTTTTTTTTTTTTTGGAGACAGGTAGCCAGCCTTTCTGTGTGTAGCCTTTGCTGTCCTGGAACTCACTCTGTAGATGACGCTGGCCTTGAACTCACAGAGATCTTCCTGCCTCTGCTTCCCCAGTTCTGGGATTAAAGGCATGAGCCACTGTCACCAGGCTAGGTTGGTCTTTTTAAGGAGCTATTCAACCATATCTAGACTAAGAAGAGTTTAACTTTATTGGTGGGGTGGGTGTAGGGGAAGTAGAGTGAAGGAGGTTTCTAGTAGAAGCAACGACACAAAGGCTCTGAAGCCTGTTTGATGTGTTTGGAAACTTCCTGAAGGCCCGTGGATTGTAGAGTGTTTGTTTAGTATGTCTGAAGTTCTGGGTTTGACCCATTATATTGCAAAAGCGCAAACACACACACACACACACACACACACACACACACACGAAGGAGGAGAAGAAGAAAAGACCAGTGTGATGGGAGCTTAAAAAAGTGGGGAGAGTGGTAGTAGATGACATCCAACATGTATTTTTATATCAACAGCCTAACCCTTAAGCCAGGCAGCTGTTGGGCAAATCCATGTTCTGGTCTTCAAAGGGCTTGCTTAGAACAGGACCTGGTTTATCACTGTCAGAAGAGGGACAGGGCTTAATCCAGTCTCCTGCCTCTGGTGCCAAGGACAGGGGTAGGGCACAAAGGTTTCAGTAAAGATCTGCTGACCGTATGCTTGAGAAGAGAACAGGAAGTATAGACTTTGTTGAAGGAAGCCTGGATGGGGTTCTCTGTTTTGGGTGCACTTTTTCTCAAGTCGCTGCCACCTCCTCTAACTGAACCAGAGATGGGAGAGTAAGGAACCAGCTATCAGTTTTACCCCATAAACCTCAAGAGGGTGGGGGCTTGAAGGGTGGGTAGGAAAATGGATTGCAAAAGCCATGCAAATACATCTGACATAGATCACAGGGTTAGGAAGGCCTCGTACAAGTGAACTATTACCTACAGTGTGATGGACGTTACATTTTGTTTTTCAGAACAGTTTCTTCTGTAAACACTTGTAGCTCCAGTGGGTTTGGCTAGGGGTTTCTCTTCAGTAACCCTCTAGACAGGGTCATGGCCGGCCACCTAGGACCTAGTCCTGCTTGCAGTACTTAGATGTGGCCACCAGGAACCGCTGCGTACGGGAGACAGGACGCGCGGGTTCCTGAGCCCCAGAAAGGAGGAAGCTGATTGGTTGCGAGGCGCGTCGAAAGGGCGGAGTCCGGGAGTCGGGAGTTGGGGGGCTGGGAGCGCGCCCCCGGGCCAAGCCTAGCGGGACTGTAGTCACCTCTGGCGGCTCCCGGTCGGTTATGGTAGTGCCGGGGTTTCTGTTCAACCTGGCTTTACAGTGGAGCAACGCCGCGGCCCAGAGATCCGGTTGGGGCAGTCGCTGTCACCTCCGTCGCAGGCCTGAGTTACCTGAGCAACTGCGTGCCAGGGGCTCGCCCGCGGGCGGGCGTTAGAGCGGGAGGCTGGGGTGCGCACGGCTGAGGTCGAGGTTCCAATCTTGGCGCGGGGCCGCGGACCTGACGACAAACAGCGCAGGCCGGGTCCCCAGGAGACCCCTCCGATTGCGGTGGGCTCCGGCCTGCCGTCTCCAACAGGTTATTCCGGGATAAGGCGGCTCTGGGGCCGGCCCTGGCTTCGCTGGGGGCCGGGCGGCGCGGGGCGGGCCGGCGATAGAGCACGCCTCCGCCCACCTCGGGCCCGCCCCGCGCCGCCCTCCCGCCCTCTCGGGAGCCGCTGTCCCGGGCCTGGCCCGTGCGCGTCCGCCTGCTGCACCGGGGCGCCAGGAGCCGCAAAGGTACAGGACCGGGCGTGGGTGCTGACCTCGGCCTGGGAGTCTTAGGGTCCCGGAGACCTCGGTGTCCGCTGGGGCCTGCAGGTCGCACGCTGGAGCCCTAGCTGCTGGCGCTCACCGCTGGTCCGCGGGGCGAGGTCAGGTGCCCCCCTTCTCTCTTCCCTTCTTTCCCTCCCCCACCTCGGTACGGGCGGGAGATCCTGCCCGCCTCCTCCCGCAGGGGTGCAGCAGGCTGCGGAGCTGACAGCGGCCCCACAACCACCCTGCCCAAACTCTCCGGAAGCAGCTAGAGCTCAGGCCGTCGAAGCCCCGGCGGACCTACTGTTGGACCGGAGGGTCCGGTCCTTCTGCGCCCAAACTTGGAGCACTTGACCTTCGGTTGTCGGAGGAGGCAAGCCCGCAGGTGGCTGGACAGCTGCGGAGCCGCGAGGGCATCTTGCCTGGGAATCATCGGCTGCATTCCCTGACTCTGGGATTTGCTTCTGGGATCCAAAGGTGTCCACATCAAGCGCATGTTGACTGAGACCTACAGTCATGGATGTGTGCTCTCGTCTTGCCCTGTGGCTTCTTTGGGGGCTCCTCCTGCATCAGGGCCAGAGCCTCAGCCATAGTCACAGCGAAAAGAATACAGGAGCCGGCTCCGGGACGACTTCAGAGGAGTCCACTGAAGCAGGTAAGGCCTTGCTGCGGGCTGGAGTGGGCTGGAGGCTTGACTGACTCAAAACTGAGTGGCCCGAAGTGGGCAAATGGAATCTCCGCACATGTGAGGTTGGTGGAGGATACACACACAGCACTTGTACTCTCAGTAGCCCAAGAAGTTCTCTCTGTGTAGCAGCCATGCCCAATGTTACTCTTTCCCTTGGACAACTTTCCTCGGGATGTTTTGGTGGCAGTGAGAAGCCTTTGGAGCACTTTGATTTTTCAGATCAGCAAGGTTCAGTCCCCATTCAGGACTTCTTGTCTGGAAGAGTGGCCTCCCCAGGTGTTAAAATTGCTTTTAGCCAGTTTCATCACTTGAGGGGGTGGGGGATAGTGATGGGTTGACCACTTGGGATGGGCCCGGAAGATCAGGGCTGGGTTGGCTGTTTCCCTATAGGCAGGTGTTCAGTTGTGCCTTTCTGTTCTCACCACCATGAGAACCCTAGTCCCTTCTTTCCCTTAGGTAATCTATCTTTTGGTTTTGCCAGCGTGGAATATCAAAACAAGTCCTTAGCTGGAATCCTGTTTACCACTAGGGAGTTAAATGGCCCTTTCTTGACTTCTCCATAATTAAAAAAAAAAAAAAAAAATCTTGGGATCACTTGTTGAATTAATCTGTTTTTTTCTGGATGATGAGAGTAAGGATTCCATCTTAATTATTTTTGATCTATCCTGATTTTCCCTGTATACTTGTGGAACCTTATTCGGCAACAGTGGGATATACTCTTGAGCAAAGAATCATTTTTACATGTAGCTTAGAAGTACCTCAGTTCTCTTTTTCTGTTTTTCACACCCTGTCAGTGCAATCTACCTAAAAACTGTGTCCTGAAGGCTTGGGGGTAGAGGAATAGCTGGGGTGTTTGAAGATAGGCAAGCTCAAGTGAGGGGTTGTCTTAGTGGGGATCTGCTGATACTAGTAGGAAATGCATGATTCATGGTGGGTGAAGAGATTCATGGATTGCATTAGTGGTAGATTTTTTTTTTTTTTTGTTGGACTGTGCTCTTTCAGCTTTCTTGACTGAGTTGGGTATAATTTTAGGTGCTTCAAGGGCATGCTTTCTTCATATGAGGCCAGGACTGTCTCAAATATAAGCACAGAATTTGGGCTGTTGTTTTTAGGACAGACCATTCCTGCAAACGAGTCCTTCCTCTCCATAGGACCTCTGAAATTTAGTTTAAATGTTGTTCTTCACTGGGCTATGAAGGGAAAGATTGGGCAAACTGTGAAGTAATCATGAATAGCATTTCTGCTCTTCCAGTGACAGACATCCTTGTTCCTAATTGATAATTTATTCTTTTGTTTTCACTTCAGAATATGCAAGTATGGCATAAAATGAAACTTTTTGAGAGGTGTTCTCTACTTTAGTTTTAAACAAGAAGGATGTAGTTTTCTGTTTCAGGCATTAGCTAGCCTTTAGGAAGTTGACTTTTGACTCTCTCTCTCTCTCTTTCTCTCTCTCTCTCTCTCTCTCTCTCTGTGTGTGTGTGTGTGTGTGTGTGTGTGTGTGTGTGTGTGTGTGTTGCCTAAGGTAGAGAAGCTATCTAACATTCCTCACAAATACCTCATGACTTGTGTTTATGGAGACATTCCTCATACATCATATTTTAGAGGATTGGCTATTCGGATTACGCTATAAAGGCCTCTCTTTTCATCTTTATTTCCTCTTAGTTCAGAAATTGGCTTCTGTTGTTGTAGTAATTATATTCCAGGGAGGAAGGTCTCAGAGTCTCTGGGTGTTGGGGATGCCTAAGTTTTTTTGTGGGAATGTGTGTGTCCTACCGTATTGTTTTGTTAGCTTGTCTCCTTGGGTGACTATGGAACTTTGGCTCAGGCAGGACTTTTTTTTTTTTTTTTTCTTTTTTCTCAAAGAAGTGGCTCCATAGCCTGGGCTCTGCAAAAGGGTTTGGGGAGAAACTGTCTGTATAGCCTGAGACTTTTTTTTTTTTTTTTTCAAGATAGGATTTCTCTGTGTAACAGTCTTAGCGTCTTGGAACTAGCTCTGTAGACCAGGCTGGCCTAGAACTTACAGAGATCCATCTGCTTCTGCCTCCCAAATCCTGGGATTAAAGGTGTGCACCCAGCTTAGCCAAGCACTCTTGAAGCCTTTCCAACCCCTCTGTGTCCACAGAACACAGGACTTTTACTTGTTAAAGCTATCATCTCCCCTCCCTCTCTTTTCTTCTTTTGAGACAGGGTCTTCTCAATTTAAAATGTAGCTGAAGCAGGTCTTGACCTTTTGATATTTCTGCTCCCACAACTTAAGTGCTGGACTACAGGGCACAAGACACCATACCTGGGTAGCTACTACTTTTCTCAGCCATATTCAACATAACTGGTAAATTATGGTGGTGTGTACAGCTTGTATTTTACAGTTACATTCACAATAGCCCTATAAAAATGCAGGGAAGGGTAGTAATCCTCATTTTAACATGGGAATAAATGCCTTGGGCTGTCAAGAAAGCTTAATGAGTAAAGGCTCTGGCTGTGCATATCTGGTGACCTAAGCTCAATCCCTGGAACTAGGTAAAGGTGCAAGGAAAGAACTGACTCTACAGAGTTGTCTTCTGGCTTCCTTCCATTGTACACAAATGCACATAGTACACACACGCATGTACACACACACACACACACACAAATAAAACAGACAGACAGACACTAGGTTCTTTGCAGGTGTTTGAAGCAGATGTTGATGCATAAGTCCTGGACTTCTTCCATCTTCTCAGGTCCTATCCTGTTAAAGGAGTGCTAGGTGGGGCTTAGCGAATGTTTCTCTCCTGGCAGTTAGGCAGGTCCTAATTGTATCGAGGTTCAAGAACAGGGGGTGCTTTTCTTTTCCTCTTCTGGAGCGTGTTGATGGAAGAATTCCACCGTACCCCCATTTTGGATGTATATGCAACCCATTTCCTTTTAGTCAGTCATAAAATTTGATTCTAAGGTATTTGTTAAAGTCTTTGTAGTAGCCAGGTAGGGTGGCACATGCCTTCAGTTCCAGCACTCAGGCGGCAGAGGTAGAGGCAGGTAAATTTCTGTGAGTTCTAGGCCTGCCTGGTTTACACAGTGAGTTCCAGGCTGATAGGAATACACAGAGAAGACTGTCTCAAAAAAAAAAAAAAAAAAAAAAAAAAGTTTATGATGCACTGGGGTTATAGCTTAGCGGTAGAGTACTTGGTTAGTGTATGAAAGGTCCTGAGTTTCATTTCTGGCACCACTTAAAAAAAAAAAAAAAGAAATACTTAATGACTTCCCCATCTATACCAAACACTTTTTTTTTTTTTTTTTTTTTTTAAGACAGGGTTTCTCTGTGTATCTGTGTAGCTTTGGAGCCTGTCCTGGAACTAGCTCTGGTAGACCAGGCTGGCCTTGAACTCACAGAGATCCACCTGCCTCTGCCTCTGAGTCCTGGGACTAAAGGTGTGTGCAACCAACACCCGGCTTTATATAAAACACTATTAAAACCCAGCCGTAGTGGTGGTCCGCCTTAATCCCAGCACTTGGGAGTCAGAGACAGGTGGATCCCTGTGAGTTTGAAGCCAGCCTGATCTACAGAGTGAGTTCCAGGACAGCTAGGACTGTTAAACAGAGAAACCCTGTCTTGAAGAACCAAAACTAAAACAAGCCAAAACAAAACCCCCAAAACATAAACCCTGACCAAGGGCTGAAGAGATGACCCAGCTGTTGATTCTCCTGCAGAGAATCCGGTTCTGTTTTCAGCCCTGACATGGTCACTCACAATCATTCTTTATTCCTGTTCCAGGAGCTCTGCTAACCTTTTATGACCCAGCAGGGCACCTAGCACACAGTTGGTGCACATAAATAATGCAGGCAAAACACTTACACATATAGAGTAAAAATAAACAGATCTAAAAAGATCCAAAACCCAACAAACAAAACTCTGACCATGGGGGTTGAGGTTATGGGTAGCTTAGTTGATAGAGTGCTTGTCTTGTACACATGATATTCTGGGTTTGATCTTCATTCAGTACTGAAACCAAACTCATCCACCCACCCAGCAGACCAACAAAACTTCTGAATTCTGAGTTTTCAGTGTTCTCATTGGGCAGTGGAGAGAACGTCTCTCTCACTTTTTGCTTTTTAAAATACCTGAACACCTAGCTGTATTAAGCCATTTTCTCAGGAAAGATCTGTCTATTGCTGTGTTGTTATTCTAGGGTCTGCACTTTTGAAGCTGGCTCAGAATGAATACCAGAAACCCCTAGACTCTAGGGTCCTTGCTTTCAGAAACTCAAATGTTCAATAGAATGTGTGTTGTGTGAGAGACCTCAGATGGAGTTTGGAGTTGTGGCTGCTGTTACAGGTGGTTTTCAGGGTCTCTAATTAGAAACTGGTTTAGCTGGAATAAGGTCCTAGAGGATAGGCTCCTATTCAGAGTGCAGGCTCTCTTTTCAATCAGCCTCTTTGGAGTGGCAGGTTAGAGCCCAGCCAGCCCACCCAATTAGTTGCTGCTGCCTCCAAGGCTATAAATGGCCTGGCCATCTTGGAAGCTATGCTAATTTTAGCTGAGGGTGGCTCCTGGAACTAGGCTGGAGCCAGGAGCAGGTGGGTGGGGCTTGGTTGGAGCTAATACCCTGGGCTGGCATGAGGGACATGGCTATCCTGAGGCAGCCAGGATGTATTTACTTCCAGGTCTCAGCTTTGGCAATCACCTTTAGCTAGGTTAATTGATTCAGCAAACATTGAACAGTGCCAGCTCATATGGTATTTATTCAACAAGTGTTTGAGTGACTGCTCTGGGTCAGTTACTGTGTATACCTTCTGTGGGGATTTAAGGGTGAATGAAAGAGCTGTCTTCTTTCTTGGAAGTTGTGTTAATAAGCACACAAATAAACACTGTCTTGTGAAAAGGGGAATGGAGGAAAATGTAAATAGGGTGCTCAGGGAAATGAGAAGGGACTAGAGACATAGTTAAAGCTGGACCTAGTGTCTAGCAGGACAGAGTGATACAGTACTATCTG